TCCATCCACGTCGTTGCAAATGGCAAGATCTCATTCCTTTTGATGGCTGCATAATATTCCATTGTATATATATACCACATCTTCTTTATCCATTCATCTCAGACGGCAGCTTTTAATAATCAGTTAGTAACCAGTAGCCCAGATGGCCACTGAACACGCCCAGGGTTATATAAGAGAAGCGCCCCCTTTATACCAACGTACAGAAGTTTTTAGCCTGTTTTGAAGATGAGAAAAGCCAGAACAATAGTTCTTCTTGCCCACGTTTTCTAGTCAAGTCACTTAGCCAGAGTAGAAATGCAAATTATTTTTCATGAAAGGCAAATAACTAGTAAAGAAGCTACAGTTAGCCAATCGAGTGGCCCACATAAAGAGTCTCTCTTTTTTCCCCACCACGTAAATTGCTTCCTGGCAGAAAGTTATTACAGAGGCGTTTAGACTCACTCAAGCTACTGGGAACCACGTAGGAGTGCAAAGTAAAGTACTTAAGCGTCCTTTCTTGACCAATCAACAGATTTATTAAGCCAGTTATTCTCTCTGAGTCTCAGCTGACTCATCTGCAAATAAAAGGCATAAGACCAGATGATCCATACATAATGTCTCTTCAATTCATAATTCCTTAAGAATTAAAATGAAACAAATTGAAACAACCATTAATTATCTTAATTTTATAGGCTTAAGATCTAGCTTTTAATATTTTTAAATATTATCTTCATACAGTAAAAACTTAATATGAACCAAATCCATATACTGGTCCCGACAACAAGATCATTCCTTTTGTGGAAACAATTAAAGCCTACAAGCCTTAAATACTCTCATCCAGTGGATGTGGATGGAACAGGCTATCCAGCCTGTGAAGCTGTCAATCATCAAACCAAGTCCACTTGTTCAGACTCCCTACTCATCAAACATCCTTCAGATTTGGATTTGTCTTTCTCAGCTCTCTACAGGTGAATGTGTTGTTCATTTAAACATGTTCAAGTATTATTTATAATTATTACAGATAATAATTAACTGACATTCCAGTCTTACCCTATAGTCTTGAAAGTTTGGTTTAATGTGAGTTTATCCCCAAGACACAGATCTATTCTAGGGGGATTAATGCATCAAGCTTTGGAAGCTGCAAGCCTAAGGGCCAAACACCGAATAAACTCACCAAGGCAATCGATAACAGACACCCTGGAGGGCTTTTGGGAGACAGCTTGCCAGCCGTCCTTAGGAAATTAGCTTTACATGAGAACTGTATGCTTTCTTTGAATTTCTCAGCAAGGGGAAGCAAATGACATAGGGGTTAAGAGGTCAAGTTCTAGAGTAGACAGACCCAGGTTCCACCACAATGTGTCATTCTGGGAAAATTATTTAACCTCTCTAAAGCCTCAGTTTCCTCATCTGTAAAGTGGCAATAATAATATCCTTTCCTGTTGTGTTGCTTAATACACACAAGGTATTTAGTATAGTGCCTGGAACAGAGCAAATATTTGATAATGTCATGGACAAACATGAAGCTAGATTTTTAAACCTATAAAATTAAGCTAATTATTGGTGATTCCAGTTTGTTTCATAAACATTGGGGAAGTAATAATCTTGAATTCAGCTATTACAACCTTACCTGGAATGCTGTTGAACAGCAGAAATTAAGCCACCAAAGGCAATCAGCAGTCACAAATGATGTCACAGATACATATGAACAATAGAGCTCACCTACTTACTCATAAAAGAGGCTCTCACAGTTCTTTTTCTATGTATTTACCATCTATATGCATTCTTTAAAGTTTAATATCTGGTCTCAAGCTATAGTTGCTTAAATGTGTATGTTATGAGATTAAGAAGATACAGCAATAAGCAGCTAGGCACTAGACAATAATCCGACAACAGGGGTGAAGACCAAAAACTTCACATACACAAGAACTAAAAGGCAGAACAATTTATAGCCACCAGTACATCAAAGTAACCTCTACACAGAAAAAGTTTCTGAAATTATCATTGCACAGAACCCTGAAGAAAAAAACCAAACATCTGCCTAAAATGTCTTTCTTCCTTGCCTGCTTAAAGAAGTAAATGAAATAGTGTGTGTGATACCGCTTTGGGACATGTAAAGTTCAAAATATAAATATGTTATTTTTTCCCATGAGGCCCACATCTATCTTGTTTCCTGCGGTATGTGTCCTAACACAGGGCCTGGCACGTCATAAATACTCCATTAATAAAGGTTAGATAAGCAAGTAAGAGCAACTTACCCTTCTTTCAATCATTCAAAGTCATTACTATGGAACAAAATTACTGAACTCCGCAAGAATTCAGTAAAACCCTAGAGGCTATGTGGTATATAGGACCATTTGTCTTTTCACAAAGTGGCTCTTCTCCCAGATGCCCCCATATAATTTTTATATATTTAATCGCTTTTCACCTCCCTCCTGGGTATTGACAGATGATTCTTCAAGTAATGAGAAAGGGTACATTAAATAAAATTAATAAATGAACCAGGGTGTTACTTGTCATACTCTCCAACTCATTGTTCTGTAAGTGCATTGATCATTTTAAGCTCATAAGTCAAGATTTTATCATCTTTGTGACCACAGTGTGCAGCCTCTGCCCAAGCCTCCCACACTGCTCACTGCCCAATAAAGGGACTGTCTGGGGGATTTAAAATTAACCTCTTTTTGAACATGTGATGTCATACTCCCCTTTGGTCTTCTGAATAAATGCAATGGCTCCCTTCTCTTTCAAACGTATCTGAATCTCCTTTCAGGGATCTATTTTCCTTCTTTACTGTGACCTGCCTCATTTTCAGACCCTATATTTGAATCTCTTTTCAAATATCCTTTTGACTTCCTTTACTATTACTCTGCCTTTTTTTCCTATGTATACTTGAAGCCATTTTTAAATGTGTATTATCAGTCTTTTAAAGTTGGTTTGTGAATGTGTACAAAGGCCTCCCTCTGTGGATCTCAAGATAATTCCTAGAAAGGTATGTGTAGGGAAATCTTAATTTGTACAAGAGGGAACCTGCAAAATTGAGGTGTAAGAGCTAAGGTGTGGTTGGCAGTCACTCCCTGATTTCTTCAGCAGGTGGATCTTGAGTAAATAGAAAAAGCCATACTTAAAACAATTCCAAGTTTGTGGGCTTTTGCCCACCCAAACTGTTTTGTAATTTTAAGTCAGGCACGATGAATAGAAAATGTGGCACAGATCCTGCCCCTCCCTATGCTGCCTCCCCGGGGCAGATGTTGAGGACCAATCAGCATTTCTTCCTGCTGAGCCTAAATGGAGCCTAAGAACCCTTTAGAACACAGTGCGTCTGCTGACGGGCTTAGTTCCGATTCTGGTTGCTATTTTATTACCATTCAGGCCATGGTGACGATCTTGCTTAACAACATACATTAATGTTGATATAAAAATGGTGCTTACATCCACAGCTGGCCAGAGGAAATGGACCTAGAAAGAGTGCGTGTTGACAGCACCTACCTGGGCACTACTGTCTGAACTCTCCCCTGAGCTCTGAGACTGCAGGGAGCTCTGATTTATATGATTCAGCTCTTCTCTAAGCCTCACGATTTCCTCAGGCTTCAAGGTCAACTGCTGTCCTTCACCCTTCAAATCTTGGTTCTGTTGTGAGTCCTCCTCCTTCTGCCTCTCTCTTGGCAAAGTGCCCTCCTTTACTGGCTCCTCTGCAATTTCTTTCTGCTTACTTTCTCCTTGTTCAGGACTTGGTACAAATATAACAACAGAAAACTGTCAAAATGCTCATTATAGTAGCAGGATACGGATGGGAAAAAAAAATCAACCAGTACTGAAAGCGAATTTTTCAACTTGAATTCTGTAGCAGAACAGTTATCTTACTCTTATAAATAAAATTTAAAAACAAATGAGTCATTTTTTTTTACTTACATTCAGGGAGATGACCCATCAGAGATTTTTGTTTATACCAAATCAACCAGTTTAAGGGAGCTTTTCACTTTTTCAACATTAAGTATGGCATTGGGCAGACACAGCTTGTAAAGATTTTTTTTTAATTACTCAATAAGCTCCAGGCACTTTGGCAAGCACTGGGGCTATAACAGGACATAATCCCTGCCCTAAAGGGTGTACAATTCAGTGAGAAATAAGGACGATAACTGAGTAGATTACACTAGTAGTAAGTAATCTGAGGCTTGATGGATGACTAGGCACAAACCAAGCAAACATAAAGGTACAGGTGTGTGCATACTTGGTTTTTTTTGTCTGTTTTGTTTTTAAGATTGTATTTATTTATTTATTTGACAGAGAGACACAGCGAGAGAGGGAACACAAGCAGGGGGAGTGGGAGAGGGAGAAACAGGCTTTCAGAGGAGCAGGGAGCCAGCCCGACGCGGGGCTCGATCCCAGGACCCTGGGATCATGACCTGAGCTGAAGGCAGACGCTTAACGACTGAGCCACCCAGGCACCCCCAGGTGTGTGCATACTGGTATGTGTGTGTGTATGTTGGGTGCTGGTATAGATGGGAACAGAAAAAAATAAAGGTGTTCCAGGATGACTCAATAAATAAAATGGATAAAAGCCTAGAGGCAAAAGAATGTCCTTTAGAAAGATCATTTGGATGCCACATGGTGGGAAACCAGAGATTGTTAGTGGTCCATGTGATAAACAATGATGACTAGAAAGGATGGTGGGGATGGAAACAAGCAGTGGATTCTAGAGATATTTAGAAGACAATATTGATAAAATTTGTCATGAATTGGATGTGACAGGAGAGGGAAAAAAAGGAAAAATGGATGACACCTGGATTTCTGACTGGGGCAAATAGGCAAGTGGATGGTAGACCAAGAAGGGGGAATGTGAATATAGATTGGAGAGATGCCTCTGGAAAACATACAGATACAGAAGAATGTGAGCAGCAGCCTTGGGATCGGGTAACAGGAGCCAAGGAGAAGGGAGAAAGTGAGAGAAGGAGGACCATTGTAGACAGACGCCTGAAGACCTGTAAGGAACAAGCAAGAGGAATGAGAGCCAGGAGGGGAGGTTGAGAAGCTAGAGAGGGAGGAGGAAAAATCAAGAGACTGTGAGCCGCAGAAGCCAAGGGGAAGGAATGTACCTTCAACGGTCAGACAGTGTGGATGACACAAACATGCCGAGTTTATTTTTATTCGTTCATTTTAAATTTATTTCAGCTACCTCAGAGCTTAGATAGCATGCTTCACAAATTATAGTTGGTGCTCAAATTCTTCAAGAACGCAATTTGGCAATTCAGATCAAGAGCCATAAAAATGTTCAGACCCTTTGACTGAATAATTGAATACCAATGAATTTACTGCAATAGAATAATTCATAAGAAGAAAAGAGCTGAATGTATAATAATGCTCATAAGCATACTATTTAAAACAGTGATTAAATGGAGACATAGGGGCACCTGGGTGGCTCAGTTGGTTAAGCGACTGCCTTTGGCTCAGGTTGTGATCCTGGAGTCCTGGGATCAAGTCCCTCATCTGGCTCCCAGTTCGGCGGGGAACCTGCTTCTCCTTCTGACCCTCTCCCCTCTCATGCTGTTTCTTTCTCTTTCGCTCTCTACTAAATAAATAAAATCTTTAAAAATAAATAAATAAATAAATGGAGACACAGAAATGGCTAAGAGAATTAAAGATAAATCAACTTGAAAGTGGTATAAAGACAATTCACCATCATGAAAAATACTTATTAAAATAAAATGGTACAACAATAAACTATATATATGTATGTATATGTGAATAAACATACATAATACCATGGGAAATGTATATATAGAAAAAACTGGAAAAGAACAGGAGAAAAATTATAATTCCTTTAGCATTGTACAAAAAAAAGAATTAAATATTTTATTTTATTTTGAACTCAGCAGGTTCTTTTTTTGTTTTTGTTTTTGCGAGAGAGAGAGAGAGAGAGAGAGTGCAAGAGGGAGGGGAGGGGTGGGGCAGAGGGAGAGGGAGAGAGAGAATCTTAAGCAGGCTCCACGCCCAGTGCGGAGCCCAACACAGGGCTTGATGCAATGACCCTGAGATCATGACCTGAGTTGAAATCAAGAGTCGGATACTTAACCAGCTGAGCCACCCAGGTGCCCCAACTCAGCAGGTTTTTAAAGATAATATACTCAGGGCACCTGTGTAGCTTGGTTGGTTTAAGTGTCTGCCTTCAGCTCAGGTCAGGATCCGAGGGTCTTAGGATCGAGCCCTGCATTGGGCTCCCTGCTCAGTGGGGAGCCTGCTTTTCCCTCTCCCTCCACTGCTCCCCCTGCTTGTGCTCTCTCACCTGCTCTCTCTCTCTCTCAAAGTTTAAAAAAAGAAAAAAAGATAATATACTCAAACTATATAAAACAATATGAAAGACTAAAATGCTTTAAAAATAAATTTCTGATAAAATAACAATCATTTTTTCCATCCTCCATAAACTCTTTTCCTTTTCCTACTCCCAGTGGAAGCCAGATACACTTGAAGACTGCAGAAAATGCAAACATATACCTCATAATTATTAAAATGGAAAAACCGACTTCTGCTTCCAGGAAAATGGAGTCAACCTACTTTTCCCTGTTTCTCCCACAAGTACAACTAAAAGCCCGGGCATTATATATAAAACAAACATAAGAAGACATTGAGGGGCGCCTGGGTGGCTCAGTCATTAAGCGTCTGCCTTTGGCTCAGGTCATGATCCCAGGGTCCTGGGATTGAGTCCTGCATCGGGCTCCCTGCTCAGCGGGGAGTCTGCTTCTCCCTCTCCCACTCCCCCTGCTTGTGTTCCCTCTCTCACTGTCTTTCTCTCTGTCAAATAAATAATAATAATAAAAAAATCTTTAAGAAAAAAAAAAGAAGAAGAAGACTCTGAAAGGTACAGAGAAGGTAGACCAACTAGGGTACTCAGGACCTGAGGAGTGACATGCCTGTGAGCTTCCTGGGTTTTAACAGCTTTATTCCAGCAGCCAAACACCACAGAAAAAAACTGTGGCCCCACCCTTACCCATGTCAGCCAAGGTCAGGTTGGGAGCCTATACTCCCACCTCCGCCAGGCTATAATGAAGCACCCCCACTGGGGTGGTGTCACAAGCCAACAGGGAGCAGGGACTTTCATCCCTGCCAGGCAGTAATAGACACAGGAGTCTGGACTTTCACCCCCACCTGGCAGTGAGGAGATACCTTTCTCCCTTTCCACTGGGGTAGTGTCAGAGGAGGTCTAGTGGAGAGTAAGGACTTTCACTAACAAGACCACCCTTACCCACCTCCATGTAGTATCATGGAGACCCAGTGGATACCAGTAACAAGGCACTCCTCCCTCTCACAGCCAGAGCAGTATAAGCAGAGGCCTCCCACCTTCACCAGCAGTAATGAGGAGTCCCCCTTTCCTTGGGTGTCCCATGGAGTTTGAGTGGGGAAGCTTGACTTGTACCACCCACCTGGGGTAGTAATGAGATAGCACCCTCCTACTCCCCCTGCCAGAGCGGTATCGGAAGAAGCCAGTTAAACTGAAGGCTTAAATAAGATCTAGAGTTTCATAATACCCAAAATATTCAGATTTTAATCTAAAATTACTCTTCATACCAAAACCCAGGAAAATGAAAAAAGGTAAAAATAGATGATAAAACCAACATGTCAGAATTATCTGACAAAGATTTTTAATCAGCCATTATAAAAATGCTTTGATGAGCACTTATGAACACAATTGAAATACATGAAAAAATGCAAAGTCTCAGAAAAGAACTAGAAAATCTTGGCACAGAAATAGAAAATATAAGGAAGAACCAAATGGAAATTTTGGAACTGAAAAGTACAATAATCAAAATAAAAACTCAAATGCAAAATGGACTTAAATTGTAAAAATATACATAAAACACAGGAGAGTCTTCAAGACCAGCAGAGTTCTAAGACTTAACACCGAAAGTGTGATCCATAAAAGGAAAGACTGATACACCATAAAAATGAAAAACTTCATGCTGAGATAATCCTCGTAAAAGAGTGAACAACAAGCAATGGACTGGGAAAAAATATTTGCAAATCACATATCTGACAAAGGACTAATATTAGAATTCATAAAGAACTCTCAAAACTTAACAGTGAGAAAACAAACCCGTTAGAAAATAGGCAAAGACACAGAAGGAGATTTCACTAAAGAGGACAGACAGATGCAAATAAGCACACGAAAAGATACTCAACATTATTAGCCTTCAGGAAAATGCAAATTAAAACTATAATGAGATACCACTATACACCTATCAGAACGGCTAAAATTTACAAGTGACAATACCAAATGCTAGAGAAGATGCAGAGAAACTGGATCACTCCTATATTGCTAGTGGGAATGTAAAATGATATCCCAGCCACTGGGGGAAAACAGTTCAGCAATGTCTTAAAAAACAACAAAAAACCCCTAAACATACGGTTACCATGTGAGCCAGAAATTGCACTCCTGGGGATTTATCCCAGAGAAATGAACAATTACGTTCATATGAAAACTTGAATATTTATAGCAGCTTTATTTAAAACAGCCCAAACTAGAAATAAACTGGATGTCTTTCAATGGATGAACAGTTAAACTGTGGAACAGCCATACTATGGAACACTACACAACAGTCAAAAGGATCCAATTGTTGATACAGAAATCTAGAAGAATCTCCAGAGAATTATGTTGAGTGAAAAAAGGCCAGCCCCAAAAGGCTACATGTTGTATGTTATATTTATATAACACTCTTGAAATGAAAAACTT